ATACTCTTATAATTGTGAGAAAAATTCTACTACCTTAAACGAAATAGGGTGAATTCAGGATATATATATTTTTTGCACTTCGGTTGGATATTAAGAAAAAGCGGTTTAAGACAAAGTGAATTATTATATGTCCCAAATACTAACAACTATATTTTACATATAAATCGCAGTCTCTTTGCGATGTATAAAAGTGGTCTGACCTATTTTTAGCAACGTAGTCGTGTTGTCAGGGTGACTTAATTGGACACACCTTGTCCGAACCCCTCTGCTACATTAGTTACAACAATTCCAAACGTCGGACCGTGAACTTGGTACATTTCCAGACGTTTAGGTAATTGCACCCTCTTGGTCTTCATGGCTTAGATCTTACACACTTTATTTCTAGCGATTTAAATGTATTTACATTTCTTAAGAGCGAACACCTTGATGGCATTAACACGTTGACATAAGCCCAATTACTTAATAGGAAATTAATTAAACTTTGTTTTACATCTCAAGAGAGCAAGGAACTAGGATTTAATAATAAAAATGACTCGCAATGCTTATCTCAGGATCACTTGGAATAAGGTCTTCGAGAATAAATATATACCTAATTATTAGTGCTTGTGAAAGGGTTCAATTGAATTTATGATATCACCTGCGATATTTTTCGGATAAGTATGCTTCTTGTCAAGGAGTTTAGAGCTGGTCGTCAGTCTACGTTACGGCAGATTCAATACTCAGAGATCAACTGGTGTGAGGTGTTCAGAACGTATCCCTGCTTTTAGACGCGAGTCACCAAATACATTTTGAGTTAATAAACAAGCAAAATAAAATTGCTTAACACGATAATGCCATTCATCAGTTTTTATTTCAATAGGATTAATTAGAAAACACAGCCATAGGATAATCAAAACACTCTACTTTCGGGGTAAACTTGCGAGAGAAGCTTATAGAAGAGGCCAACTACAGGATTTAGATTTAGACACGTAATTATCTAGACTAGTAATGCCCAGGCCTACTAAATCTGCTTAAAACGATCCAAGTTGAAGTAACAATTTTCATAAATTTCCGTTTTAAAAAGTGCAACTACGAATCCAACTCCTAACAATGGCAGGCTCTTTCGACACCCTCCTTAACATTAATAAAAAAAGACTAATGAAGGCCCAATAAAACAAATAAAAGGCAAATACTTGCTTAGAATGCGAAATAGAATCATGATTATTCGTAGACTCATAAGACTAAAGAAACGATCAAGAACTTACATCAAGCACTTATAATCTCAAAGTAAAGAATAAAAGAATAGAAATAAGGCAAAGTTTGGCAGGCGCGAAAAATTACAATGAATTTGTTAGCAATTTCTTAAGTTAGTTCATAAGGGATATGAAAGAAATACATGATGCCAAGGTTAAAACATAGGCTCAAATAGATATCTAATTACAGCCAAAACAGCAGAGCATGCTGAACTATCGTGTTCATATAACAAAAATAGACTACAAAGTCGGAATCTTTGCTTAATATAGCCGAAGTTAAACAAAAATAAACGCACTCATGTGCAAAAAATCTGTCAAAATGTCTATATCTGCATATGGAAAGTTGTATATGTGTGGGAATATGGAAACACGGACATCATTATTAAAAAGTGAACACCGAGAAATATGTTTTGGGTGCACGATTTAAAAACACTCTGGGCAGTGAGTAGACGGTCTGATGAATTTTAAAAGTCTGCCAAGAGGAAGGTACACCGATGAAGCAACTGGAGAGACATGTGTGACAAGTTCACAGTAGGGTAGACACAGCGAGTATGAAGTCAGTATAAAATAAGCCAATTAAAATAAAAAATAAACAAAATAAAGTAGAGCCCAGGCGAGTCGCTATAGCTACACGAACTGGCAAAGTAAATAGGCCACGTCGCGGAGCGGAAAATAAGAATCAAATGACTAGTGAAAATGGTGCTTTCTCGCTCATGCTCGCATGGGCATGCCCATTTAAGAGGCCAACGGATTGCACACGTGCGTATCTTACGAGACACGGCTAAATCACAGAAGAATATCCAGTTAGTAAATTTTGAGTATTTAATCAGAATGAAGGATATCTGAATAGATAAATGGACAGAAAAAAGAAAGAAATACGTAAATTATTCACAAATTTACACTACTTTGGCCAAATTTCAAGAGATCAGGTTTGATGTGGTGCAGGATTCGAGATTGTGTGAGTTTGCAGAAGCGATTAAGTTTGTGATAGATTCCATTTTGGAGATTGGAACGTCAGTATCAATAGGACTAGACATTTTTCAGAAGCCCATCACTCATCTACTCCGACTAGAAGGAAAAACAAAGAAGAAAACATCATTTAGTCCAAGTCTTCTTTCTTGAGCGAAACGATGAGGCACAAAGAGATCCCCCAACAAAGGCATAGGTGTGACTTTGCAAACAAGCTAAAAAGGTTGCACAAACAAAGGTGAAAAAAGTCCAGTCACGACTACACGAGTGTTTTAACGAAATTATAAAGGATACTGTTAAATGGTACCAAGAGAGAACTTTAAAGATCAAAGCCGGGCAGATTCTGGGTGAGTCGACTAAGTTGGGTAAAGCATTGGCGTGAGATTTAGCCGACTATAGCTCCATAAAAAGTAGAGGCTTCATGGGGAAATCGTGTGCTCCTCTTATCAGATGCCTAAAAGCCGTGGATCCAGACGTGAATCCAAGGTTTCCACTTGAATGGATCATCACAATTAATTGCACCAGCAGCTTAGTGAGCTAACTGAGGAGTCCGTCAAGACCCAACCTGTCGTTTTCAGTGGCTCAGAATGCTGAAATCAGGATCCAACGTCTCCAACAAGCCTCCAGTATTAACAGCCGAATCTGCAAGTCCAGCAACCCGATCGGCATTAACGGTTGCATGAATAGAATTGTTGAAATGGGCAGTACGATTATGCGAAAGTGTTAAGAAGCTAGGGCGTCCTGGGTCCTCGACATCTTCAGGTAGTGGGCTTTGACAGACGTCTGGAACGATGCCAGGTGAGGAGTAGCCGGTGTTATCAGGAAAAACATCGTGCGTTCGGCCAATGGATATCTGGGCCGATGAGAGATTAAGCAAGCAGACTGGTCCTGGCGAGGACAAAGAGTGAGGGAATCGGCATGAGAATGGTCCTTGCAACGTAGGCGGATGTGTCTGCAGAGGAGAAACCGAGGATGAGGAGGATGCTTGAGTCGACAATGATAGTGACTTTTGCCCCATATGCATTCTTCCGACATCCTTAGCACTAAATATGTCGTGACGATGAGGGGCCTGCAGATAGTCGTGATGTTGCTGTTGTTGCTGCATTTCAAGAGGATCAGATTGGCGTCGTTGTTGACGATGATATGGAGTTGTCTGCTGGTGCGGATGTGTATTGTGATGGTGCAGAAGTGAACAGGATATCTGTTTTTGTTCTTGTTGCTGCATTTGCAATTGGTCTTGCGTTGGCAAAGAAGTTGCAGGTGTTGATTGTGCGTAGGCAAAGTGATTACAGTCTCTATCCGGCCAGCAGGTATTATTTACACTGTTTGGAGAAATAAAATCGTGAGAGTTTGAAGTTGGGGCATCAGGACCGCAGCTTGCGCCAGCATACCCTTCGCAAGAACAGCCTTGCGGATTGCCAGAGGATACAGGCATTTGGTCTATACTTTGGACAGGTGATTGGAACGACTGAATGGAGTTGTAGGTTAGTACAGCAGCGATACTGTCGTTGGCACTACCATTATTGCAGTTGGTACGAGTACAATTGCTTCGGCAGGTCTCGTTGTGGCTGATGATGTCCTCTTTGTCTTCAGATGTTGAATATGAAGTTTTTCGCGTCACATTGAAGAGCGTAGAAGAATTTTCTGATGTATGCGAGGATGGGAGTGATTCCCTGGAAGACGGTGACTGTGATTGCAACAGTTGCGTAGGAGGATTTGAGAGGCTCGACTGACTTTGAAGTCGGTGATGCGGATTGAGTTCAATTTCATATTGCCTATAGGAATTTATTGGCTTGGTTGGGGCTAAAGGTTTGGCCTGATCTAGAAAATGATCAAAGAGCTGAGATGAAGAGGTTGTGGCGTCAGCTACAAGACGCTCCATTTTTGGTGCTGAGGTGCCGCCAAGTAGACTACCTGCCGCTCGCTTCAATGGGCTATTAGGCGCCGACACAGCAACCGCTATTCTGGAGCTGCTTCGGTCCCCTGCCGCAGCTGTTTGTACAGATGCCTCTTGCCTTTCTGCCCTCGTTGTCTTGAGCAAAGATGTCTCAGTCTCTGTCTGGCTTTCGGGGGAACTTGACCCCCGGCTACAGCCACTACTTCCAGCGGCAGCAAAGGGCACCGGGTGACTATGGCCTGGAGTGTCTCGAACGACAGAGCTTGAAGTTTGGGACGCCGTAGAAGCGAATATTTGGGGCGAAATACCGTGATAAGCCATTTGAGTTCGCAAAAGCCGATTTTCGAAGAGCAGATTTTTAATGTGTCGTCTTAACAAAAAGATACGGTTAAAAAGGGCATTTGTGAATTTAAATATTCATAATTATGTTTAAGCTATGAAAATAAGATTGCAAGACAATGCACCGAATACAGCCGGACAAAGAATACAATTGTAAGCCAATTATGCCATCTAACCTTTTTAAACTGTTGTAAACGTTATGTTATCACTCATGGATTCTGTCCCATTAAGAGAAATTACAATGCAGATAGGGTTAACGAGATTCTTTACCAGGTCTCCATTCAGAAGGGAAGATAAACTAATGATAGGGATAGGAATAAATGAGTTAAGTTTGTATATATTAAGTCAAGGCTCAGTAGTGATCTGGCCAGTATTCTAACGTTAGAGTATGGCCAACAAGAAATCATATATAATATGAAGAGAAGCTAAGTTTCGAAGGATCCCCTAGTAGATTGATACTGCCATACGTTTCATTTCACTTGAGAAGGCGAGTGGAAGGAATCCATAGATTGGCCTCACAGGATACCGAAAGTAGACTGCCTTTGACTTTTGTCTGTTGAATTGTGCGATTAGGGCCTCGGCTCACCGTCCCACGACCACAATGACTCTGACGATGTCCGTTACACGACAGACGAAAGCTCAGCATGCAGTCATCGAAGTCGTAGGACGGTGAGTCGAGATCTTCTTCGCTCAAACCTGCTTCGGTATCCGGTGAGGCCGATCTAAGAATCCCTTACAGCCGCCTCCTTAAACGAAATGAAAGGTATGCCAGTATCACCGAATCTGACTTAATAACAAAAAGTTGCTTAGGTATGGGATTATAAGCAATAGGTTAAAGCCAGAGTGCCCAGTTGATAGGGTTTATGAGGTGACAGCGCCTATTGATCGGTATGACTATCGGGATAAAGTGGTGAATCTAACCTTAGTAGCTCTTGATTCTGAAATCACTATAATCCTGAAGAAGGAGCCAAACATTTCTATGTGAAATGACAAAAACTTTCTAAAAGACATTTTGGAGGTTATCAATATTTAACAAAATAGGAAATGGAGATTGAAAATAATTCCAATAATATTGACACCCAAAAACAACAACAGATTTGCTAGGATACGCAGGACCTCACAAAGGAAGGAACAATTAGTCCTTAAGGCAAATAGAGTAGTGACAGTGATAATGGTCAGAAAACAATACAACGTGAAGATGAAATGTATACTACAAAACAGGATCACTTATCGTGTACTAAACAAGGACCCAACAATGAAGATCAGTGGAGCATTAAGGGACATGATGAAAGATATGTATAGGAACGGCGAGATTGACAGATGGATAAATTTACTGATAAGAAAGGATGCATAACCAACAACACGCAACGGATTACCGAAGCTACACAAAGAAGATGAACCACTAAGACTAATAGTCAACAAGTATGGGACAACACTCAAACAGGCAAAGTTCATGTTTGAAGCTCAAGAAATCAAACGACCGACTAGCAAGCCCAATGAAACATTCATTGGAATTTTCTAAAAGAACCAAAAACTTGACACTGTAATAAACATACTTCTTGGTAAGTAGTGAGTATACAAATATCTCTGGAGAAAAAACAATAACGGCCTTGCTAGAGATATTGGACCGAGAAAACGATAAGGAAGGAGTCGTGAACACGACTAATAAACTTGACGATAATGAATACCTAGTTCACATTCAATGGCAACATACCTAAACAAATATTTGGACCTCCAATGAGTACGGCTTTCAGCTCCTTTATTAAATGCATATATGAACAAATTAAAAGAGAACTTCAAGTTGTCATCGCGGCAACCAGGAGTGCCTTGCGGCACCTGGATGACTTCTTCGCACTCTGGAGGATTTCATAAAGTTTATTAGCCAAATTGATGAAGGAATCAAATTTACAATGAAATTATGTAAAGAAGAGCGGATACCTCTACTGGATGTTAATATCAATCGCTTTAATGGGACGCTTAAGAAGAAATGGTTTAGAATGAGCTCATATGCCGAAGTAATACTCTATTACCAGCCCCACCACAACTACAAACTAAAGATAAGAATAATAAGGAGCATGCTCATCAGAAGCCGAAGCTTAATGGAGGTGGAATTATAGGATAAAGAAATCAACAAAATGACTCAGATATTCCTCGGCAACGGATACCTGAGAGAAGTAATAGAAAAAAACATACGGACAGTGAAAAGCCGATGGCAGAATGGGGACTAGGAAAGAACAGTAAGACCGGAGAAAGATTAACAAAAGTGGATATGCCTACCCTCTTGCGAACTAACTAAAAAACTACGGCCAATACTTTGGAAATTGAATATTCAGTTTAGCCCGAAGGAAGGAAGGAACACTTCACAAGTCTAGCCACGCAGCATGAGAGGGTGGACAAATAGGATTGCTCGGG